AGGCAAGTATAGCATGGGCCTACCTTGATGTCCTATTCACTTTAATCATTCACTCATGTGCATGTGTCTAACTTTGATAACCATAAGGACATTCTAGTCATTTGATGACATGTTCCCTTGACTCCTATGGGTTAATTGCATATGGGTAGATTGCTAGTGCTCTAACTGAGCATGATCTATTTGATGGTGAATGGTTCTATGGAACTAAAGGTAAAACATGCTTTATAACAACTGATCCATAGGGCGATGGTGCAAATGACTTTTGATCATGTTGCTCTCGGCCCTCCATAAGGACTTATCTGTCGGCAAAAGCTGGGACTGACAGTGCAACCGTGAGGGTCATATGGCTCTGACTTTAGCTTAGTAATAGGACATTTTCTAGCTTGTTAGAGGTTACCTTTATGGCGCAAAAGGGGCTTGCCACGTTGGGTATAGGACTGCCTCTGTTCCTATGAGTATAGCCACGATGGATATGTGCCATAGGAAAGGGGGGTTCCTACATCTGCCTGCCAAGGAAACCTAGCGGCCCTAACTTGTTAGGGAAACCTACGAAATGGCTTCATAGTGTACCCTGCCCGCTCACCTTGGTAGTGACATGGGAGTAATTAACCCGGGCATATGGGGATCACGACTCGCGGTGAATGTGCACCACCTCTGCAGAGGGTAACAAACTGTTATAACAGCCCTGCTCACGGTCACGAGCGGCCCGGAAAACTCACAGAATAATTGGTTACTTGTTGATGATCATTTAAGATGGTCTATGATGATGTTATGATACACTTGACCCTGATATCTGTTCATATGGGAATAAATGGGAGCTTAAGCATAACTTGATGATACTTGATAATAAAATCTTGACTTACTAAAAGTGCTATCTGCAGTAAACCAGTGTCAACCTTTTTGAGCCTCATGAACCCTATGTTATCTTGTTGAGTACGAGAAGTACTTACGCTTGTTTACTTTCTATATTTGAATAAAAATCCCGGATGGGTAACAGATGACAACGGATATGAGGAGTTTCTTGAGGATTATTAGGCTTGTGGTCAACCAGTCGACCGTCCCTGTGATGGAGTTCCACGAGAGAGTTATTTTTTTTATCTTCCGCTGTGTTATGTAAGACAATGTGATGCTATTATTCGTTATGTAAGATACACCGTGATGATACTTTTTATAATTTGTCAACTTATGTGTGTGACTGATCCCTGGGCACACATGAGTTTAGTGCATTCAATTTTATCCTTAAAATTGGGTGTGACAGGGTTCCAAAGAAATATTATCGATGCAGAAATTATGGTCAGAGACCATGCTGGAAAGCGAATCTTCCTACCACGGATTCCGTTATGCCCCTCGGATGATGAGATGTTCCAGTTCAAGAGGAAGCAGTTTCCTATTAGACTTAGTTTTGCCATGACGATTAACAAGGCACAAGGGTAGATTCTCCTCAATGCTAGTGTGTATTTGCCTGAACCGGTGTTCTCTCATGGTCAATTGTATGTTGCCCTATCTAGAGCCACTGCCAGATCGAACATTTGGATCTTTGTCGTCCCACTCGGTGATAAGAAGGATAAGAAAAAAAAGACCAAAATACATGGTATATACACAAAAAATATTGTCTACAAGGAGGTCCTAACTCTATGAAAAGGTATTGTCTTCTATTTTGCGTAACTGTTATATTCTTACATTTGTATCCTTTATTACTGACATTTTTTGTATCCATCTGAATTTCAAGTAATAGAGGAAGTTGGAAAGAAATAAGAGACAAGTAGTTATGACTTGTTGACATGTTTTGTATCCATCTGAATTTCAAGTAATAGAGGAAGTTGGAAAGAAATAAGAGACAAGTAGTTATGACTTGTTGACATGTTATTGATTGGATGTACATATTTTATATAATTGAAACCTGTCGATTATATAGTATTTCTAATATGTTTTTCTCTCATATGGTTAATATTATACGTATAAAAAGTTGTTAATGAGTGAGTGACGTTGGCTGCCGTCAAGAGGAAAACAGTGTACGCTAAAAATAGTGATCTCAATGATTTATCTTTGATTAACTTAGATGTTGACACGTTATCTCATGAAAATTTTTGGTTCCCGTAACAACGCACGGGCACTCAACTAGTAAATAAAAAATTGTGTTGCAACGGTCATGTAGAAAAGTTGCCATAATAAGTTGTTTATGAAATTACATGAAAAAATATATTGAAAAGTTAGGACGTTATTATGATTAGTTTTGTCCCGCAAAATGTTATGCACAAAGGTTGCAAGTATAATTATGTAACTTTCTAAAAAATAAAAAGTTGTGAAAATATTTTTTTCTAAAAAAGGAAAGTCATCCAAGATGTATCACGTTCACCTTGGGTGAATGACCGCAAATCTGAATTGAATGATTGACTGATCTTGAGATAGAGTTGGAGAGAAGTTTAATGTCGTCGATGATACAACACACGTTTAAATTTAAAATTATTATGGCATTATCTTGTTTCCGTTGCAACGTACGAACATGATCCTAGTATAGAAAAAGGAAAATTGAGTGGTGTCATGTGCCTCGTTAGGGTGTATGTAGATTCACCCCGTGGTTAGGTGGAAGGGATGTCTAGAGTCATGTCCCTAGGCTTCGGCATAGAAAGACTTAGAAGTTGTTTGATTCTTGGTCACATTTCGCCTTAGACAACTTTGATCAAGTTTACAAATGTTTGGTTCGCAAAATTTAGCAGTCTTATTTTGGGCTCCACATGTTAACGTCATAGATAGAGTAAAAAAGTGACAATATTTCTTAAGCATATGGCGAAGTATGGCTCTAAATTCCAACCATATTTTTTGTGGCTCGTCACACTTGCCTAAGATTAGTTACGACAACCTATGCCTAGGAACCAAACATCCAGGGCAAAGACGTTGGCACAGTTAAATTTTGGCCCTTGGTGCAAAGCGTTTTGCAACTTGGATTAAAAGCATCTGCTATACGCTTGTGCAGTTGTGTTTCACTCGATCTTCCTCTTTCCTATAGAGGTGCAAGACGTTCAGGATTGGTGTTGTACAGTTACTCTCCTGCATAAGAAATTGCAGCCTTAGAGGTACAAGGGTAATGGGATAATAAATTACAGGTTGCACAAGACAATCTAAACTGTTTTTTCCGGATGAAAACGGTCGAACTCGGTCGAAAAACTCCTCAACCGTTTTCTACTTTTACATTTGAAATACGAAAGCGAAAGCGAAAGCGGACAAGCCGGACACGAAAATGAACACAAACTTACGGAATATCTAGAATTTCGGAAACGAAACAATTCGAGCGGAATTATGTCGAACACGGTCGGTATGCGAAAATTCAATACGAAATATCGACCCACAGTGCATAGCATTAAACAAGTGCACGACCAAATACATAACAAGTTCACAACTAACGAGTGTATGATCTAGTTCAAGTGCATAGCATTAAACAAGTGCACGATCAAATACATAATAAGAGAGATGAGGCTGGACACCATCTATAAGAGAGGACAGCTAGCCACCAGTAGAAAGAATGCAGCTACGTGGTGAGCAGCCTGTAATTGGGCTGTATGACCTGTGCAGTTGGCCAAATTCGGTTTAAACCGAATTTTGAATTCGGAATATTTCAAATTAAAAGTAGAAAAGTAGAAAACGGTCGAAAAATGTGTAAATCGTTTTCTACTTTTACATTTGAAATACGAAACATCTCAAATACGAAAACAAAAACGGTAAAGTCGAACAAGAAAATGCGGATTTGATCGGATTAAATATAGAAAACGATGCGGTTCGGTTCGGGATATTTCCGTTCCGTTTTCATCCTTAACCATGAGTATCATTATTATCAGCAAGAAACTTTGTTTCTCTTTGAAATAATCCGTGTGGATTTTTGCCCCACAGCAAAGAAGATACGTTGACAATTTCAAGCTAACGGCAGATCAACTGGTAAGAGTTGAGGTCCATCCTGTTCTTGTCTGAAAATTGATGACCCGCTGTGGCTCATATCCATATCAGCGCTTTTGAGTCGTTCGGTTCAGAGTTTTATCATTGTCCACATGATATCGTTTCTTCTGCACATGCAGGGTCATCGATCTCCATTTTGTTCCACACCATAGCTGGGCCTGTCATCAGAGAAGTACAGCATGGCAATGATCGAAGAATTTGACTGTTTATGCGAGATTTCTTAAATCCTACTGTATATATGAGTCTGTGTCATTCCAATACACCACCTGGTATCAGTTATACGTCTCTCTTCGCCGGAAACAAAGCTATGTCCGTGCACAACAACCAGTAAAAGGTACAACTTCTTTGCACACTCTCCAGTCAACCAAACTGACGCACGTTGTTAATTTGCCATGCTTCTCTCGCTAGTGGCTCATATCCATATCAGAGCATTTGAGCCATTCGGTTCAGAGTTGTATCGTTGTCCATCCACATTATCTGTCCTTTCTTCTACTCATGCAGAGTCATATCTATATTCATATCCATATTTTGTTAAACGCAATAGCTGGACCTGCCTGCATCAGAGAAGTCAGTTAGCATGGCGATGATCCACGAATTTGACTGTGCTGTGCGAGTGTTTTAAATGACATACCTCAAGTCCATCACAGTGCCATAACTCCATCATCACCAGGTAGATCAGTTATCCGCCTGGTAAATCAGTTATCCAAACAAACAATTATGTCTGTAAACAAGCACCAGCAAAAGGAACTTCTTGGCACAATCTCTACTACAACTACAATCAATCAAACTGACGCACTTTGCTAATTTGCTATGCTTCTCACGCTATAATCTGGGTATTGATCTGGCTCACACCTACGACTCCAAATTCGACGATGACTAACAACAACTAAACAAAGTTCCTTTCAACGACGGCTACAAAAAAATATTTCCTCTCCGGTGAGGCAGTGACTGCAAAATTTTCCATTGTCCCTATGGCTGCAAAATTTTCCTCTAAGCGCATGCAACAGATACTTGCAACTTGCAAGCGGAAGCGGCAAGAGATGGGATTCCTCTCAATGGACCATCCTGAGCAAGCTCATCCGCATCTCACGCAGCGACGCCTCGCGGATCGCACCCTCGAAGCACGCCTCGGCCAGGACGGGCGGTACCGGGACCGCAGCAACCGGAGACGTAGTTGGCGCCCCCGCAGGCGCAGACTCCTCGCCGGCGGCTGATGCAGACGCCTTGGCTTCCTGCCCGACCAACGGATGCGACCACCGCCGCCGCCCCTGAGGCGGGGGCGCCGCGCCGCCGTCGCGCTCGTCGACGAGCTCCAGGACGAGGCGGTGGTCCTCGACCTTCCTGGCGCAGACGCGGTGCGCGGCCTCCTCCCGCGAGATCACGAGGCGGCCGTCGGCGGTGCGCTCCCGCACAAGCGGCCGGGGTGACTGGATCGCGGGTGGCAGGCGGCGCGGTAGGCGGCGCCACCCGTACGACACCCAGCAACCACCGCCCCGCTCCTCCTCCTTCCCGTCACGGCCACCATCCGCTTCGCAGCCATTGGCGAGGCAACGTACCGCACGGGGGGAGGCGGCGATCGTGCGCGTGGCCACGTTGCCGCCCCCCCTTGGAGGAGGCATCAGCGTCGGCGGAGATTAGGGTTTGGAGGCCGAGGGGGCTATCCGCGGACAGGAGGAGCATCGCAGATTCGCCGCGTACGGTGGCGCGGATAGGGCTATGGGCCTGTTTGTTTCCGCGGCGCGTTTGAGCAGCAAACGCGAAAACAGCCCGCCAAACGCTCCGCGTCCGACGCGCGTTGGCCGGCCGCCCGCGATACGAAACGCGAAAAGTTGAACTGGACGGTGGGAAATCTCGAACGCGGCCCCGGAGCTGCGTTCGCTCAAACGCGCCGCGCATTACCCACTCCCGGAAACAAACAGGCCCTATTTCAAGGTGGCGGACGCGAAATCCATTGCCCCTCCGCTTGGGGATCTCCGGCCTCCGGGTGCCGAATTGCCGAGTTCGACTATAAATGGGCTGGCCCGATGGGTGGCATTGGGCATGACCCTAAAGGCCCCGTTCGGCTGGCTAAAACTTGGCTGAAAAACACTGTTCCGGCTGGTTTGTTGTGAGAAAAAAACACTGTTTGGCTGGTTTGATAAACAGTAACTTGAGAGGGAGGATCAGCCGGCTGGTTGATCCGATCAGACCAGCGAACGCACCGAAAAATCATGTCATTAGCATGGTCCGGGCCAACAGTTATAATCCATAGCGTAGGATCGTGTGTGGGCCGACAAGGCGGCCTGCAGTGTTGAGCTAGCCATGACACGATTAATGGGTCGGCACTATACTTGGTGTGGTTTAACAGAATCTTTCTTTACTATCTCAAGAATGTCTATGACAGCTTCCCACATCATCAACGTTTGGTTGTAAATATTCCAGTGATGATCCGATCACTTGGGAGACAGTACCTCGCTTTGTCGAGGACTTGGTGATCAGCGATTTAGCCGAGTCCAATGAGTAATGAAATCCCTGATTAAAAAAATACAAAGTAAAGTTTTAAGATGTGAACCCCATCTAGTATGTTGTCTATGCTGTCCATGTTCCCCATCACCAAAACCGAACATGGATCTGCCACTGGGGTAGGGGGCTCTCTTCTCTTCTCTGTGTCTATGTTGTCCATGTGCGGTTTCAACCGGAAACCAAACCGTAAAAACCGAAACCGATCTTGTCGGTTTTAGGTTTTGTGACAAACCGATCAGTCACTGGATGCTAGAACCAAAGTTTTTTTAAACCGAAGAAGCCAAACCGAATTTTCGGTTAAAACTGAATACCCAGCCTGAGCACCGAGCACCCTGCTTATTTATTGGACATGTTGTCACATGAGTAAAATGTGAGTGCATCAACAATTAAGGAGCCTGTATACAGCTATGCAGATGGCAATTGCGAAAGTAAAGTGCCCAAGGATTAGTCAGCCATGATACTGTTAGAATTTATATGGATAGTTCCCCTAAATTCATATGCAGAAATTCTAATAAATGTGAAAGGACCAGTACCTGTGTTCCTTAATGGGCTTTAATGTTTAAGCCAAATGAGTAAAAGTGGAAGGTGCAACATCAATTAGTACCATATTGCTAGTTGATATAGAGGTAGGGGTTCTCCTCTCTATATATTTGTACCAATCCTCCTAAGAAAAAAACACGCCAAAAACTACTATTGAGAGTTCCAGTTTGAAAAATCCTGTCACACCCAATTTTAAGAACAAAAGAGGATGTGTAAAAGTCTTATGTGCACCCCAGGAACAGTCGCACACATAAGTGGACAAATTGTAAATTGTACCATCACAATGTTTATTACATAGCGAATAATTATTCATCACATAGTCTCACACATAGATATAATAGCTACTAAGATAACTCGCTGGCGGAAGCTCCAACAGGGACGTCAACTGGTGAACACCAAGCCTAATACTCGTCACGGTAATCTTCAATCCAATCTTGATCTGTTACCCATCCGGGATTTTTCCAATATAAAAGATAAAGCAAGGCATAAGTACATGTCGTACTTAACAAGATAACTAAGGGTTCATGAGGCTCAAATAGCTGACACTGGTTTACTGCGGTTAGCATTTAAGTCATCATCAAGTTTAGCATTTATTAACATCAAGATAGCAATAATCCCTTAACACATAATCAATGAACATGAATAATCAATATCTTAAACAATTAACATAAATGATCATCTTAACAAGTAAAAGTCATCATCTCTTATGTAAGTGTCCCAAGGCCGCTCGTATCCGTGAGCACGGCTAGTATACCAGTTTGTTAACTCTGCGCAGAGGTGTACACTTTCACTGTGAGTCATGTTTTCCAAATGAGTGGGTTAATTACTCCCAAAACACGGAAACCATATAGAGCCACCCAAGAACTCGTCTAACCGGCCGAGGTCGCATGAGGTCATCGAGATATAGGAACCCCCTTCCAATAATATAAAAGGCCGCTTCAAAGCTAGGCACAACAGACAGAGGCTGTCCTATACCCAACTCATGAGACCTCTAACCAGCTAGAAAAGGGTTTCTCAAATAACTAGAGCCGAGCCATATAGCCCTCTCACGGTACATCACGTTAATCCCGGATAATCGGTTACAAGACAAGTCCTTCTATTGCTATAAAGTCATCTTGTATGTGTTTATAGCATATTCATTAATCAAGTTTCAAGATCATGTTTCGTTGCACTAGCAATAGAACTACCCAATGCAACCCTCCCAAGGTGACAAGGTGGCTCGAGTGTTCAAAATCTAGGATTTCCTACCATAGGTAGCAAGGAAGACGCATGCATATGTATTTTAGTGAGCATCATGAATAGGACAACAAGGAAGGTCCTTAGCTATACTTGCCTTGATCAAAGTTCCCTGAAAAATCTTGCTGGTCTTGTTGGTCGTAGAAGTTCTCTTGTTCACCAACGTAAACCTCACAAATCGAACGAACTCGATCAACAACACCAAGCAAACAACATACAATCATCCGAGCAATCATACACGAGGCAAACAAATAGATTTAATTAGAACAGTACACCACCAGAAATAAAACAGTTTGAAAAGTGTATAAAAACATTCTACTTGTCACTACGATCATATAAACGCGAGGATCACGAAAAAACGGAATTACTGACGAGAAAGTTATGATTAAAACAAGTTTTCCTATTAAAGAAATAGATTAAATATAAACTCGAAATTTAAAGTTCAAAAACATGGTGAAAAACTATATGAACAGATAGATCTCGAAAAGATGAATCTAACGCATAAGTTGAATGGTTCGATTTGGAGTTAGAAGCGAATAAGTTATGAGCAATTAAAGGTAGTGGCAAAGCTGTAATTAGATGGAACTTGATTCTTGAATCATTAAATGAAAAATCGTTTTCCAAAAAGAAAGCGTATTCTATGGAATCCGCTTTGGACCCATGGGTTCAACATCTAAAGAACCGGGGCTCTTTAGCCAAAAGGCCACCCGAAGGGTGCGGTGCGATTCGGACCGTTGGATCCAATCCGAACGGACCGGATTAGATAGGGGAGGGAGGGCGGCGCTAAAGCCGGAGAAGAAGACCTCCGCGGTGGTTGCCATCGCCCGGCAGCCATCAAGCTCGTCGGCGGAACTTGTTCCGGCGATTGATTGCACCAGAGACTCAGACCGTGCGGATCGAACCGGGAAGGATGGGGGCTCACGACGCGAAGATGGAGACCGAAGGAACCCGAGGCGAAGCGTGGGGCTGTCGACAATGAACGGCGGCACACTTGCAATGGCGGTGATATTAGCGAGCAAAAGCAGAGCGAAAAAGGAAGAGAGAAAAGGCTAGGCGGCCAGCAGACACGACGCCGAAGCCCGGTGACTTGCATCTGGCGTCAAACGAGCGGCGACGAGACGGCGGAATCGAAGGCGATGGCGCTTAGGGTTGCTGGCTCGCGAGGTGCTCGGCGAGGGCGGCGCGCGCTTAGGGCTCGGGAAAAGCAGATTGTGGGCGCGGAGATTCGGCCTTTATAGGGGCAGGACGTGGCGCGGGCGCCCTGGCGCGTGGACTGCGATTCGGTCGGACTTGAGTTCGACACCGAACCGGAGGAGGAAGATGAGGTGCGGGCCCCAGCTGCCGGCGGCACAAGGAAGAAAGAGGCGGCTGTTGCCCGCGGCTGGGCCTTGGCCTCGGCCCAAGAAGAAAAAGGAAGGAAGGAAGCTGTCTGTTATTTGGGAGGGAAGGGGAGCAGGAGTCTACGGGCGAAATACTGTGCAAGGAGAAAAGGGAGGCTTTTACTTTCTCAAGCATTTTGAATACAATTTCAAATAGATTTGAATTCCTTTTGAATTTTTGGATAAAAGCCAATTATCACAAAAAAAATATGCACCAGCATGAATGCTCAAGCATGTATCTAACTTGGAGATTGATTTTATTTTTATAAATTTACTATTTGGCCTATGTGAAATGCTCTCATAAATAAAAATAAATCCATTTAGCCAATTTAAGTTTATTCAAATTTTAGGGTGTTACAATTCTACCCCCCTTAAGAAAATCTCGTCCTCGAGATTATCTTTGTGCTTACTCAAACAAGCTCATGGTATGTCTTTCTCAAATCATCTTCTCTTTCCCAAGTTGCCTCTGTTTCCGAATACCGGTCCCTTTGAACCTTGCACATCCTAATTGTTCGCTTCTTGTAACTTTCTCGGCTATATCCAAAATCTTAATTGGAAACTCCTCATATGTCAGATCATCCTATGACAAGTTCCTCTAACGGTATTTGCTCCTCGTGCACGCATAAACACTTCTTAAGTTGAGAAACATGGAACACATCATGCACTCGATAAACTATCGAGGCAATTCCAACCGATAGGCCACTTCTCCACGTCTCTTTAGAATTTTGAAAGGACCAACATACCTTGGTGCTAACTTTCCTTTCATGTTAAACCTTTTTACACTCCTCATTGGTGATACTTTTAAATAGACATAATCTCCTTCTTCAAATACCAAGTCTCTTCTTGATTATCTCGCATAGCTCTTCCGACGGGTTTGTGCCACTCTCGATTCTCTCTAATCTTTCTTACACTGCTCTTCCGCGTTTCTAAGCACATCTGGTCCAAACACTTGACTTTCACCA